GTGCTGCTGCGCGCCCGGCTGCTGAGCACCGCCCGCCTGTGGCGCGCTGGGCGGGTGCGGCAGCTGCGGCTGCGGTTGCTGCGGGGGGTGCTGCGCTGCTGCCGCAGCTGTGGGCGTTGACGGCGTGTTGGGGCGCGCATGTGCAGCGCCGCCGCCGCCGCCGCCGCCGCCCCCACACGCCGCGACGCAAGCACCTGCACAGGCGGTTGCGCCGCCAGCTGACGCTGACGCGTCGTCAGAGGGCCGCAGGCTACTGCATGTGTGCTCCTTGAAGAGCATGTGCTTGGCCGCGCCGCCGTTCACCAGAATCGACGTCTTCGGCGACACGGGGGCACTGTGGCAGAGGATCGGGCTGAGGGAGCCGGGCGCGAGGTTCGAGCGCGCGCGCCGCAGCGGCGAGCCCGGGCGGCTGCCGGGCGCGCTGCCGCCGCCGCCGCCGGGCGCGGCCCCTGACCCGCAGTCCGCGGCGGACTTGAGCTGCGGATGGGGCGGCAGGGGCGGCAGTTGCTCGGCTACCCGGGGCATGGCCACTTGTGCTCAACTATACTCGCCGCTGCGACGTTTATCAAGCAAGCGCAAAGCCCCTGGCTCTATGTCGTGCGTCGCGCAGTGGCCGTGGGGCCCGCAGCGCCCGCGGCGCGTCGCCTGCGTGCGCACCTTCGGGGGCGGCGTACGCAGGGCGTCCGCCTCTGCCAGCTCAGCCACTGCTGCTGTGTACACCTCGTGGGGCCTGCAGGGCAGAGGTTGTATTGGTCGCGCCCCGGAGGCCGCGCGGCGGGGGCTGAGGCAGCGGCCGCGTAGTTGCGGCAGCGGGAGCGGGGCCGGCCCGGCCACGGTGCCAGCACGGCTGTGGGCGTGCCCGGGCCGCTGGCGGAAGCGGCCGCGCGCGCCCGGCCGCAAGCCACTGGCCGCCGCGCGCTGCTGCGCACCTGGGCGAGCGGGATGCGCTGCCAGGCCAGCCACCGTCAAGCTGCGGCGGGATTTGCGACAGCGACGCAGCGTGCCGCATGCCCGGCTTTGAAGGCGACCCGACTCCCTCAGCCCCGCGGTCGCCCTCGAACGACGGATAACGGCGCCTTTGTCCAACCCCTGCGTTACATAAGAGCATGACCCGGAAGTCTGGCTCCCTGTTGAGGCCCTGCGAAATGACACCCGCCTGGCGCCTTGCCACGCGCCGGCTGCGGCGAGAAGCGCTGGCCATATAGAAGATAATGCCGACGATCAGAGCAGATGGAGCCGGTGCAAAGGCCCCAGCGCGACCCAAAGGGCGCCTTCGCCCTGTAGCCCGCTCACCTCCGGAGGAGGGCCACTGCCCGCAACTGCCAGACATCACTGGAACATTTCGCAGATCCCGCACCGCGGCAGCATCCGGCCCTCCAGATCACACACAGCTTGCGGAGCGCTTGAAGTGAGTGCGCATCAGTGCCGTGGTATTCCGTACGTATGATGCGCAGCACAAATTTCGGTTTTTTTAGGTGCAGGACGCAGCGTGCACATGGCTGGCGCGAGCGAATGTACCGTGCAGTATCGGGGCGCCAACAGGGGCGGGCCAGCTCCATGTGTTCGTTGTCGTTCCCGGGTGTAGGACCGCACATAGCTCGCCACCTGAACATTCATACTCCTGAGCCACTCCCTTGACAATGTCTAGGGCCACAGTCCGTCTGATCACCCACGTACGATGTATGTTGCAGCGGCGTCACCCAGCCAACAGGGTGTTTTGAGGGTGTCGGACAGCCCAGGAGCTGACGCTGGCGCCTTTGCGCTATGAAGAGGCCCAAGAGGGCGCCTGGACGAGCGAGCCAGGTAAAAGAAAAACTCGCATTGTTACACTCACACACGCACGCACGCACGCGCGTGCCGCGGCGGCGGCCTTGCGCCGTCAAACCCCGCCACACACTCCTGCCGCCTGCTGTGGCCCGCTGCCGCAGGCCGGGCGCAACACACGCCAAAAAACGCGCAAACCCCACCATAAAAAAGCACGCCTGCGCAGGCCAGGCGGTGATGCCCCAGTGAGCCCCGCGCAGACGGGCGCGCGGCCCCTGGACCTTGCCTGCTGCACTGGCACCGCGTTGACGACACGGGGGAACGCACACACCACACACAGCAGCCACTGTTTCACACACAAAAAAGGCGTTTTGGAATGCAAGAGGGAGGAGACAGCTGGGAAATTGAAAAGACACACGGGAATGGGTGGGGCGTCGGCACGCGTCGTGAGTGAGTGCGAGGATTCACTGCTGCCAGCTCCAGCTGGTCGCCGCAAAATCCAGCTCTCAAGATCCAGGAAAGCCGACATCCTGGATCAAGGCGCCGCCTGCTCGCCCCTGCACGCCACCACCGCCCGGCCGCCCCCGATATTGCGCAGCCTCACGCCGCGGCCTGTACCGCCCCCGATATCGCGTTGACGGCCCAATCCAGGTCGCTGCCGAGGGCGTCGCTTTCGTGCACCCAGCTGAGCAGCTTCTCCCAGTCCTGGCCCCGCTGGCTGGCCAGCAGCGAGCCCACGCCCTGAGGGGGTGCGTGCAGGACGCGGGGAAAGGGATGACGGCGGCAGCCGTGGAATGGCAGCAGCGATGGGACGTCACAGGCTAGCCTACTTCGCAAGCCGGCTCAGCGCAGGGCCCCGAAAACAACCAAGGCTGTTCAGGGCATGAAAGCCCTCCTGTGACTCGCCCCCACCTCCCCTTTGTCAGCCCCACCTGCACCGTTGTCACCATGTCCCCCAGCAGGCTGACAGTCGCCCGCACCACGAGCTCGTCGTACTCCTGCCGGTGACGGGCGGCGGTTGGCAGTCCGAGGTAAGCAGGAAGCGGCGTCGCACCGAGGAGTCCAAACAGCGCGCGGTGTTGCTGGCAGGCGACGACAGCCGTGCGTGAGCAGAGTACACCCACAGGGCGAAGGGCCTCACGGCAGCGCTCCACCCCCGGCCCCCCGTGCCTGCCGCGGCGCCCCGCCCCAAGGGCGCACCACACGACTCCAGAAACCCTGCACCCCCGACCTCGCTCGCCTGGTCGCGCGCTATGGTGTTTGCAAACTCCAGGATCAGCGGCACGTCGGCCCGCAGCGGCCCCTCGGCCGAGCCGCTGGGTAGGCCCTGGAATATGCCGCTGTAGGCCTCCAGGATGCCCATGCGCAGCTCATTATTGTAGTCCGCCAGGTCATCATCAAGAGCAGCCTGGGCGGCCTTGAGGGGTGCAAGGGGGGAGGGTGTCGGCAGCGGGGAGGGCCGTGAAATAGGGTAAGCATGTGCATGTGCGTGCGTGTCGGCATGTGTGCGGTGTTGGTCTGCACACCCCTGCGCATGGGCCTTGCACGTGTGCGCGTTCACAACGCGCTTCGGGATGGGAGCAGGCGACAAGCCCGCTCCTCGCAGATGGGAGTGCTGAAAAACACAGGGGTTGGGCGCAGGTGACGGCGGCGCGGCGCGGTCCGCAAGGCAGCCTGCGCCGCCGCGCTGACCTGCGCGGCGCTGAGCTGCATGGCCTGCTGCAGCATGCGCGTGACGGCCTCGGTGTACTTCTCAAACTTGGCGCCCAGCGACAGAGCCATGTCGCCAAACGTGGACAGAATCTGAGGGGGGGAGGGTGGTGGGGGCCCAGGATCGAGGCGCACGTGGGTGAGCAGGGCAGCCAGTGAGTGCCAATGGGCAGCGTCTGTTGGAACAGCTGGAGAGCTTCCCAGCTCTCCAGTGCAGGCATGTTGCGCAACCCCCCCACGAACACACATGAACACACACAAGTGCGTGCGTGCATGCGTGCTTGAGTGCGTGCATGCGGCAGCGGCCACACGCGACCCCAACGCACCTGCGGCTTGATGCTGCGGTGCACCGCGTCGCTGCCGAGGTTGTGGATGAGCATGTTCATGATCTCGTCGCTGTAGGGCGCCAGCTCGTCACCCACCGCGTCGCACACGTCGGTCAGCACGCCCACTGTCGTCAGGCACACCTGCGCGCGCGCGGGCGCGGGGGCGCAGGTCGGGTGCAGAGGAGGCGCGCGGGGTGCAGGCGGCGGGGGACGCGGGGTGCACGGCTGCTGGACCGTTGGCGCATGGCCGCACGCGTGCTGGCATATCGTCACCGCCGCGTGGGACCGGAGCTGCCCACCATGCCCGATCCGAGGGAATCAGTATTGAATCTGAGGGCAGCAGTATTGAGCGCCCACGCCGCTGCACCTGGGCTCGTCGGCTGCCATGGGCTCGTCGGCTGCCATAGGGGAGCTTTTAGGTGGACCCACCTGCCACTCCTGGTGGTTCAAGAGGCCGGCCTTCAGGTAGGGGTAGAACGACGGCATGTACTTGCTAAATTGCCGCCCGACGCCGATCGCCACCGAGCCCACCGCCTGCGGTGGCGGTGAAGAAAGCCCAAAAACAAACCGTGTGTGAGGGGTGCAACAGCGCTCGCCGAAGCACGTCGGGCCGGCCTGCTGATCCAGGCAAGCGCAGCCAGGCGCAGCCGAGCGCAGCTAGAGTTGTCCGGGGGCAGCTGAGGCTAGCGGCCAACGGAACGCTGCGCCACCCGGCCCGCCCTGCCCGGCCCCGCACCTGCATCGCCTCTTCGTGCACGCTGGCCGCCGCGACCGCTGCGCCTGCCGCGCCGCCGGCCTGGCCCGGGTTGGCCAGAACGCGCAGCAGCGCCTCCATTGTCGAGTCCGCGTACTGCAGCAGCGCTGCCTTCCCGTTGTCCTCCTTGGCCAGCCGCGTGCAGAGCGTCTGCGGGGGTTGTTTTGAGTTGCAGGGCCGGCCGACTCGCGGGGTCGGCGTGCGCTGTGGCGGCAAGCATCGGCGGCGCGGTTGGGCCCGGGGGGCGAGGGGAGCCCCAAAGACAAGGCGGTGGTGGGGACGCGGCTCACAAACAGGCCGGAGCGCCGCGCGGTGGTCAGTTGTGGGCGACCTCTGCAGGGGCCGGCGCCCGCGCGGGGCCCGCACCTGCACCACGCCGCAGAGCAGCCCCTGCAGCTCCGCCTGCTTCTCCCGCTGCTCCGAGGTGGCCGCCGCCATAGAGAACGTCTGCTCAGCACGGCAGGCCGCGCGCCACGACAGAGGAGGGGCGGGGGAGGTAGGGTCCAGGGCCAGAGGAGGATGGTTAGAGCCAGCAGAGGGTTTGGGAACCGGCAATCGCCTGCGGCAGGGCGATTGGGACGGTGACTGCGCATGCGCCGACGCAACCGCGAGCCCCTGGCCCTTCTGGCCGTTATGGGTGACCAGACGGTCTCCTTCACGCGCTCCCGGCCACCAAGCCGCCGACAGCTCAGCGCACTGCACTGAGCACGAACCCACCTTTGCAATGTCGTTCAAAAAGACGGGGATGAGGTGACCGACAGTGTCCAACGTGTCCGCCGCCGCCGCGCGCACCTGCAGGCGCGCAGGGGGTCACCAAGCCTTGGCAGCCGCCGAGGAAGCGGCCTGCCCCCCGGCGCCAGCTCGCCCCCCGTGCATCCGCCCTCCTGCGCCCCCACCTCAGCCGCTCCTCTGACGCCAGCCGGGCATGGCGCCGGCGGATGCACCTCTCTGGCTTCGTGCCCTCAGTCATACACAGATAGGGGTGCACGCACACCGCATGACCAGAGAAGCCCCCACGCAGGGCCCCCCGACCCCCAGCCTCACCAGCTCGTTAATGGCCTCGTACGCGTGGATGTGGGGGGAGCTGCTGCCGTGGAA